TACAGTCCTCATCATTTTTTTTGGTAAAAAATAATTTCTTTTTGGAAAGAAGACAGGAAATAGGACTTTGAACATCTCTTTCCAAAATATTCAAAAAATTCAAAGTTCACAAAAACCGTGAATTACTCACAAATGAAAATGGTCAGAATCACTTGAAATCAGAAATGCGTAAAATGAGCCAGAAAAACCACAGAATCAGCCTATAAAAAATCAAATAGTGACAAACTGTCAACTAATTGCACATCCCTCTTCATAATTGCACTCTTTTAGACATCACCATTTTCATGAGAGCATTGTTACTCAAAAACGAATAATTCTGATTGGCCCGTTTGACCATCTCCCGCTCAATCGTGAATTGTTTACGGTTATTTTAAAAAATTAACGGTTCTCCTCGCCATAGTGTTAAAGCTATCTATTTTATCGCTATAATATTATGCAATAATAAACACATACAATTATAATAAAACCATGCCTATTTTATTCGTCGTATCGACGTATATATGAACTATGAATAGCAAGCTTTGAAGTTTAAATACGTTCCAATTCTACCAGTGTTATTGTAACCCGTTTAGCCAGTCGTACTAAGAGATCGACTTACATTGCATTATGAAACTATGCCAATACAAATCCTCTATAAAAGCTATTTCATTCCCAGCTTAGCTTTTTTGTAATTACAAAAGATGCTAGTTTTTTTACAAAAAGTTAATTTTATTACAGAACTTAATTTTTCGTGCTGTGTGAACGTTTCTTAAAAGGTGAAGATAGCACAGTAGTGTATTTGGTGAAGGGAAGACCGTTGCAATTGCCCGTCGCAAAGCAGATTCGTTATCCGTAATAAACACATTTGGAAGCTCCAAAGAGATGTTTGCGATCAGAGCGTCAAGAAACACAGAGTCCACAAATAGTTCTCGGTTTTCTCATGTTCCATCCGCACTCCCGCAATATGATACGCTGTTAAGGTATCTCTTACGTCGCCTATAGTGTTACTCGTGCCGACAATGTTGAGCAACGTCAACCCGTAGGAGTTGGTCTTATTCGTGGTATCAATTACAATGCACTCAAGCATACGACGAGCTTCCACAATTGCCTCAGATTCTGCAAAAAAAAACCATGTCAACGACATTGTTGGAATTGGCTCTAGCCTTGGCAATGTAACCTTTTGTTTTCAAGTTGTTGACAAAGTTGAGAACTTCACTGGACTCGGATTCCTTTGATTTGAAATGTTGTTGCCTGATGCTGTGCAAGTCTCTGGTTACTAAGTTGTTAATGCCTTGAGCCTTGAGATTCTAATAATGAGAGGGGAAAAAAAGGTCCGTGGTGAATGTTTTCAAGGCATTCACTCTTTCTCTTTACCTCCAAAATAGAACTCGCATTACGCTTCGTGTTTTCGAAAAGATTGCGCAGTGCTGAGCTTCACTGCGTCTAAATGACAGAAAACAGCGTATATTCGGCAATCCTTAGCCATTTGGTGAGAATGCAGTGCGTGTGATCTGCGAATTTCGAACTGCTGGAATTTGTTCTTGCTTGCATAAATGTAGCAAAGACTACCAATGAGCTGGGTGTCCTTTTGGCGAACAACGATCTTTTCGTCTTCAGAAATACACTTATGATTGTTTTCATATTATTTTCCATGCTTGCACATCAAGTGAATGTACTTTTGATTTGATTTGTAAGTAACAAATGGAAAGTTGTGCTTCACACCAAAAGCTTTAGCAGCCTCTCTGACATCGGATAAAGTACCAAATATTTTGCCGGTAGAAAATACATCTCTGAATTCATTTTCCATGTCAGCAATGCGTTTGGTGTTTTCATCTACAACAGTTATGTATTGAGTGTTCATTTTAGTTTATTCGAAAGAATATGGAAAAGTATTTCTGTGCCTGAGCCTGTTTCAGAGTGGCATCGCGCTTTGAAAATATCGGTAGATAACATCACAGGTAGCGACCTGAGGTAGCACCCATAATATTAGCCACTTTTTTGTGATTTTTTTCGTGCACATTAAGGTTTACAAAGATATTTGAACGATATAACAAAGTATCAAAGGTGGTCGCATATCATGTTAATGATTTAGTCATGATCTATAATCGTAACACCCTCGAGATCAGTTCCTTGTTGATCAGCCGTTGCATTGGCCCTTCCGTCTTACTAAAGTCATTGAGAACATTAGCTATAAAGTGAAGGATGGTGAGTTGATTATGCTTAAATATATCATGCCAATCAGATGAAGTTATACAAAGCTCATTTGATGTTAGCTGCAAGTTTAAAGTGTTAACTTCAGAAACCAAGTTTTGCAGCAATAAGGGATGTGTTGTTATATGGGGCCTGTAAAACAATAAGAGATACTGATAAGCCAATAAGAAAATACAGTAAAAGCCTAATTCCAGGAGAGGGAGCAATGGGTTTGTAAGAAGCATATTCGTACGAGTATTATCTCAAGCTTATTATAAATTATTGTAACGTTCTATAATAATGAAGAGTCTTTTTATCCTCCAAAGCTTTTTAACACGCCTAATTCCTTTTATAAGCTTTCTAGTCAAAAACCAGTAAGGATAGCATAGTTCATTATCCCGGGTATATTTTATTTTGCTGATACTCAATGGAAAATACATACGTACGGGTACAACGAATAGTGTACTTGACGCAATGTGTAGTGTAAATAGCGAAATGTGTTCTTTCGTGTTCTTCAAGAGTTTTATAAATTTACTCTAGAAAGTGTATTAGTCTGTTTGCTTCAGAAGATTTTTTTGGTACTTGTGATTTCTGCTGCATTATTGTATATACGTGCTTCAGCCAAAGAGGTATGAGTGCAAACTCTTTTGGCTTTCCTCCCCTTTTGTTTACCTTAATGGTGACGGCTTTGTATTTTGTGAAAATAAAATCTTGGTTTCCGTTTTACTATTTCTTTATCGTTGATTGATTTTTATTTTTTATTATTTTTTAAAATGGAAAGAACGAGTAGATCAGCAGCCAATATTTCAATAATTCCATCGACAAAAGCGCAAAGATTGAGAATGAACGCCAGATCTCAACCATCTAATGGTAATCTTTCCAAAAGAAAGATCATCACCAAAGCCTCTACTACCGTCACATCACAATCAACAGTAAAAAGATCTTCCATAACCAGCCAAACAGGGCATAACGTTCAAGTCGTTTTGCGCTTGAAGTAAGTAATAGATACAGCATAGAATGCGCGCGATCTTTACTCGATAAAATTTTTTTATTACCTATAGAGGAAAGTACGGTATCAAGCAAAGTCTGAATCCCACTGTGTTGCTTCCTGTCCAAGAAGCACGTGATAAGAAAGTTATCCTGACAACCAACAATTATGTATACAGTTTTGATCACATATTTTACCAAGACGCCACACAGCAGAAGATCTATGACCAAGTCGGTAAACCCATCCTAAGTGAGGTTCTGTGCGGCTATAACTGCACGATTTTTGCCTACGGTCAGACCGGTACTGGTAAGACCTATACAATGGAAGGCGACCTTGAAAATGCAAACGGCAAGCCTGCTCCTAATGCCGGTATCATACCACGCATCATATGTGATCTGTTTGAATGCTTGAATGGGAGGGATGGTGAACATATCGTAAAAATTTCCATGTTGGAACTATACAATGAAGAATTACGCGACCTTTTATATCCTGGTGATGAGAATAAGACGTTAAATATATACGATGATGCTCAAAATGGTGTCAAAGTATCAAACATCCATGAAGAAGTCATCATTTCTGCCGCTCATGGGCTTGACATTGTAAAAACAGGTGTTAAAAAGAGAATGACTGCTGCCACAAACTGCAATGAAAAATCAAGGTACGAGCAATACCAAGCTAGTGTTGCAGTTTTCTGACTTTTTTTTTTCTTAGTCGCTCACATTGTATCTTTACCATCAACATCACATTACAAGAAAAAAATGATAAAGGCGCCAAAGTGTATTGTACAAGCAAGTTGCACCTTGTTGACCTGGCTGGATCAGAGAACAGCAAGGCATCAGGCTCAGAGCACCTCAGAGCAAGAGAGGCTGCATCCATCAACAAAAGTCTGCTAACCCTTGGCAGAGTGATCAATTCTCTTTCTGATAAAGCACCCCATATACCCTATAGAGAAAGCAAATTGACCCGTTTACTAAAAGATTCCCTTGGCGGTCGCACAAAGACATCTATCATTACAACCATCGACCCACTAAGTCAAAGTATCGAAGACATGAAAAATACATTAGATTATGGTAGCCATGCTAAAAATATATCTAACGTTCCCCTGAGAAACGGTATCGCTCTTGAAGAGCGTCACGTTGATACCCTTGTAAGTACGATTATTAAAATGCAAGATGAGTTACGCCGTGCGTGGGATAAGAACGGATACTGCATGCCAAAAAAAGAACACGATGAGCTTGTCATAAGAGCAGAAACAGCCGAACAGATCGCAGAGCAGAAGGAAGAAGAACTGAAGCACGAAAAAGAACGAATTACAGAAGAGAGAAGATTGTTTGAAGAGGAATTACGAACGCTCAAGCAGCAGGGTGCTGAAGAAATACAAAGGTTGTCTAGGAAAGAAAGAGAGAGTCAAGAAGAGATTCATCGACTAAGTGTGGAACTGGAAAGTCTTCGCCAACAACTGTCGCAAAAGAATAAAGCGCTTGAAGAAATTTCTCATATGGCTATCAGAGCTTCTGTAAAACGAGAAAGAAAAGATGATGATTATGTAGAGGAGGCACGCCCACAAAAGAAAAAATAAACGGCTCTGCTTTGTTTATGTGTACATAGTAATAAATAATACATAGAATGTCTTTTGGCACTCAAACAGATTAGCAAGGAATAAATTGTTCGCACATACTACAAGATCAATAACAAGTACACTTTACAATCTTCATTCTCTATCTTTTTCTTTATTGTTTCAAACTTGAGAGTATACAATTGTATAAAAATAAGCTTTGCTTTTTTGAGATAAGATAAAAAGAGGAGACTCATGGTGGTCAACATTTTACAAGTCTATTCTCTTTTTTTCCCTCTTTATAATGTAAGCATTTAATATTAATGTAAATAACTGGTTCACTAAACACTTCTTTTATATTTCATTCTTTTGCTTCTTGTGAACTCTCTTCTATGATTATTTGATGTCTGAAGTTATCATTTTTCTATCAGGGTGCGAATAAAGTATAACAGGGAATAAAAAGTATTTATTATAGGTCATACGCCTTGAATTGCACGCATTATAAAACGGCAAAAGAAATTACGCTGTATCCCATATACAGACAGCCTTGTTCTTTTCTGCAGAAAAGATATGATCGCCGGTAGGGTTCCAAGCTACTCCACAAATAGCAGATCTTATAAAAAAAAGCGTGTTTGTCATAGAATAAAGAGAAAAAACAGAGAAAAAGAGGCTTACCTGTGTTCTTTTAGCATCCTTTCAACTTTTCCTGTGTTGACATTCCATACGAACAAAGTACCATCTGTTAGAGCAAGAATACGTTTAGAAAGGTATTTTAAGGCATTTGAACCGTTATGCCATTTACCTGAAGAACCAGCTGCAACGTAGCTCCCACTAGGGCTTTACAAAAAAATGAATACAAGATACGCAGACATAATGATCATATTCTTACCTAAATGTTGATCTGGACCAATTAAGGCCGTTATGGTATGAATCCGCTCTAATAAGTTAGCTCAAATTCAGTACAAGGCACACACACATTATGTTATTCAGCTTACTGAAATGACTTCAAGATGTCGTACATACGAACATCAATAATTTTTAAAGTATTGTCTCTCGAGTTTGTCAAGAGGTACATTCCATCTAAGGCGCAATATCAATAAATGTTTATAAAGTTTTTTTTTTGACATTTGTTTACCTGATGACATGCTAACAGACGTAACCTGCCCATTGTGTACTCCTGTTAATTCCTTTATACCTGAGCCTGTACGTGTATCCCAGAATCTGATATGATTGTCCAAATGACCGCTGATCAGAGTTTGACCGTCAGAGTCCATAAGACACAGGTCATTGCAGCTTGAAAAGGTAAAGATAGTTCTCGCAGCTACAAAAAGGGGGATTATTTAGGACACCTGAATCACACATATAGTCTTACTGTATCCTCTTTGCAGATCCCAGACTTTGAGAGTTCGATCGTGACTACCAGAAACCTATGTGACATGTTTGTAGCTATTCTGTTGATGCAAAGCATGAATCTTATTACCACACGATTAGAATCACCAGTAAATTTGGCAGCATATACTTTTCCGATATGACCAGTCAATGTGTGCTTCAGATAAAGTAAGGTTATTGATCGTCTATGAAGTGAAAAGTTTATTAACCTACTCGTAATCTGTGCGTTGAAAGGCTCCATATCCTAGTTGCATTATCTGTGCATGACCCAAGAATCATTTCATCTGTAGAATTAAAGGATACAGATGTGATTGTTTGAAGAGCACCACCAAGTGCTTGTATCATATGACCACTTCTTGTATCATAGAGTCTAATTTTTCTATCAGCGCCACCTGTTGCAAATAACGCACCTTTAGAGGAGGCTGCTATGCAATGGATATCATCATCATGTGCATTCTAATAAAAAGTATGGGCGTAAAGTTCTATTTAGCGTCATTGCAACTTACAATTTTTTTATAGATTTTGCTAGGCAACAAATTATAACTTGACAACGCTTCCTTAGGTTGGCTTCTCTTCCTATCAGGGGAATTTTTAGCTTGCTCAAGTGCTCTATAAAAATATATAAATAATATGTATGTGTACATAGGATATCATACAACTTACTGCTCATAGAATTGCATAGCTTCGTTCATCTTTTCTGCTTCTGCATTTTTTAAATCTATCCACCTCTGTAGTAACTGCTTATTCTCGATGGAGAGATTCTTATTTTTCTCTTCTGTAGTCGTAATTTCGAGTTGCAGTGCCGTTAATTCATCTTGCAATATCTGATTTTTGTATAGATATAAACTTTCCATTTTTTTTTTTTTTTTTTTTTTTTTTTTTTTTTTTTTTGTACATGTCTTTTTACCTGTATCGTAACGTCCTTTTCTTTCAGCTGATATACCTGAAGTTCACATTTGGCAGATAATTTTTTGACTTGGTCGGATAGTTGTATAAGCCTGTCTGTATGTATAAATAACGATACACTTTCAAAATGACGCTTACTCTTTTGTTTGTCGCTTTTCCTTGTCTTCTTTTATCCGAAGCTGCTCGCTCAAGTGAATGAGTCTTTGAGCATTTTCACTCTGTGTCTTGTACATTTCTGCTCTTTCTTCACTTAGATCTCTGATACGTCTATCTAATTCAGCTACATTTTGAGAAGATCTACTTTTCCCCATAAGGCCTCTCTCCTTGAGTTATAACATGACCTACCCTTCTGAAATCAGCTCTTTTCTTTTTTTTTCTTTTTTCTTGTGTTCAATAACTTGCTGGAGTAATTGGTTATCTATTGTAATGTTGATTTTAACTAGTCGAGCACATGACCGTACGTCAACTAACTTGCTAAAATAAGCTCGTGGAATATGCCTTCATGCAAATCTCGAGCTTGTAGTCTCTCCAAAATAACTTGTGGATGAGCCATAAGAAAGAAAAAAAAAGAACACGGTGTTTGAAATATCAGAGTTTGCATGACAATTATCATTTTATTTGCTGGGAAATAGCTGGTCTTACTTTTGGTCCAAAGAAGACAAGAAAAGAAAAGAAAGACAAAGGCTTTATATTAAGTCTCTAACAATATTTGCAGTTGTGCATTACTTATGAGATACTGACCACATTTATCTTCTCTTCTCTCAAAAAGATAGAGCACATTTTTATATTACTATAAGCTTTCAAGTTGGAAACGATAAAGAAAAAAATTGATAACCAACCAAAGTGAAATTGTTATTTAAATTGTGCGAATATCTGATACAACATATATTTCAAGGACATGACGAAGGTTGGTTACAAAACCCGTATCAGAGTCCACCAATTGAACCAAATCAATCGTATGTAATTTTTCTTTAACTGCAATGAATTCTATATCAATGCTTTGCGAAGTAGAAGGACCCAGCGGACTATGCATGTGTATTAGAACATACTTTTCTATTGTAATGTTATTTTACCTTAGCTTGATATTGTTTTCCAAACAAATAATATCTGCCTCATGAGTTTCATTCTCAAAATATTGTTTCAAAAAGTCTGGTTTAGGTATAAGTACAAGTTATTCTTTCTTCGGGTTACTTGCCTGATTCACTCATATAAGGGTCAATTGGCAATGATTCCAAGGGCAGGGGAGGTAGAGTCGTCTTGATAGCTAAAGGCTCTGTAGGGTATCTCTTGCGATTAGGTATCATCACTTGAAACCTTCTTGTATGCTTTGATCGATTGACAATAAAGACATGGAGCAAGAACTTTTTCCCCACTTGTATCTTATCAGGAACAGTAAATGATACGACGATCCCATCCATCACTTCTCTTTCGGCCGCACGTCTGATATGCAGGTCTTTGCTAGGCGAAGACATGATCGAGTTTGCCTTCTTGACACCAAAGACGCCTTCAAGGGAGCTATGTGCCTGTTGATCACCAGGACTGCCTGCGATAGACCGAGCCCCTGGAGAGCCACTGGTCAATGACTGTGAGCGTGCGAGGGACGTGTGCCCAGCGAACTTTTCTGCTAACGGCGAAATTTCTTCTCTTCTTTGTCTTATACCTGATACGTCTAGCATAGTGTTCCATTTAGATCTCATGGTTGAAGCGCGAATGCCATCAATGACAGGTACGCTGTATATCTGAATAGACACACGCTGTGGCTGAATCTTGTCTTCTAAAGGTACCTGTTGTTGTTGTTGGGGTAATGGCCTACGCGAGGGAAACATGCGCTGAGGTTGAGTAGGTGGTTTGACTGTTCCATCATCAAGAAGGGTTACGTCATATACGAATACAATAAGATCAGATCTATTCAAGTAGATGGGAAATTCAATCTGACTCATATGATTGAAAGCAACCGAGACAACCGCGTTTGATACCTGCACGTCTACCTTCTCCACTATAAACTCACAGCCCGTTTCAGGAGGATTTTCCAATTCGACAGACATCATGACCATTTTTTCAGCAACAGAGGCGTTTGTCGTACGCATTTTAACAGCCAAGCCGGACCGAAGAGGTAAAGCTTCTTTGATGGCACGCTTAAGTGAAAGCTGTAGATTACTTATATTGTTTGCAGGCGGTGCCATGGGTGTTCCTGTTGTAGGCCTTGCTTGATTTTCAACAACAAACCTTTGTACGAGATCCCCTTGCTTAGAAAACACAGGATCATCGGATAGTCCACTCAAGAGATTAATCGTCTCAAAAGAATCAATATCATATTCGTCGGTTGGACTATTTTCTGGTTGAACCTTTTGCTTTAGTGTAATCGGTCGATATTGGATATTGCAGTTGATGGATAAGAGGGGACTGGATGACTTTGTCTTTACGTATACTAGATAACAATGAGTCACTACATTTGATTACTACACGGCTATTACCTATAGGCACAACCATGGGATAGAGGTAACAGACCGAATCATTATATTCAAATACAGACAATTCGCCATGTTTACTGCTGCTCTTATTATAAGCTTGAGTGAAAAAGGGCGTTGTCACATCGTTCATTTGCGATCTACGCTGATAAGATATCTTGGGAGAGGTCGGAGCTGACTGTGTGTTGATGGATGATGAACGCTGTAGACTTGGTGTAGGCATATTATCTGTGATGGTAGCATCTATTGTGATTTCCAGTTGGTTATAAAATGATGCAATCGCCTCTCGAACTTCATCACCCGTTCCTGACTTTTGCTTTGAGATGTTTGCAAATAGATATACTTGTAAATGTTCATCTGTCAAAAAGAGAAAAATTAGACATTGTATTGCAGATAAGGCGCATTTATATATTAACCATAAAACGCGAATTCACGAGGTTTAGCCTGTACTATCGATAAGGGATCTTGTTCATTTTCTTTTGTAGTGTTTGGAATGAGGATTTGAAATTCTGCTTCATTAAAGAAAAGCTCCGTTGAAATAGAATTCATGTTTAAGAAAGAAAAAAAAACGTTTTTTTTATTTTCAATTAAAAAATAATGAATCAGTTTTCAAAACGTTGTTATGCAACCATTTCAAATAAAGGGCAACTGATCTATTCATCTCCAAATATTGGTCTTGTCAAGCTTGTTAAAACATTTTCATTATCAACTCTTGGTGTAAAAAGAAAATAAGAAGTATGAATAAAGAGAGGCTAATATCAACTAGGCTTCAGCTTTGGCAACACCTGCACTACTCTACTTTTGGCAAGAGCCAATAGGTAAAACAAGAAAAAAAACAAAAAAAAAAAAAACAAAACAAAACTAGTACTAAAACAATATGGTTCAAGCCCATGCAGCTGATTTGACTAATGCTATGTTTTTGGGAGGTAAGAGTGCCATTTATAAAACTGCCCTTGTTTTTTTCATTGGCAACATATATCACTTAGAATCCATTTTACGCCATATGTTAACACAAACATTATTTACAGCCTTTGCAGCAAGTGGATGCTCTACAGGCGCATTGACTTATCTACTCTCACCTTATGTGAATCATATTTACCTTCATAGCAAAAATAACGCAGGCATCACCCCTGACACAGTCATTACCATAGAAACACTAGACATATTGACTCGTAAAAGACAGACGACGGTTCGATTACGTGAACTGCAGCCAGTCTACAGCACCTTTTTGACGTGGAAGGTGAATCCAAAGGTTATACAAAAAGAAGAACTCTCAGATCAGCACAAGAGGATATATCAACATCGATTCTGGTTAGATCAAAGAAACGGTACTGGCGATCGAGAAATCATGTCAAAGATTCTAAGAATTGTGTACGATCAACGACGCATTTAATAAACGTTTTTATTTATTGAACAAAATATGTTGGATGCTCTTTGAAAGATAACCGGACGTGCTTTCTTCAGCATCATCCAGGGGAAGGTCATAAAACAAGTGGCGTGCAAGATCTTTGTTTGCAGGGTACTCAAGGCCATGTTTGAAAAATGGACTCTTTTCGAATGTCTCCTTGTTCTGGGATACCCACTTGGTCCAGAACTCGACAACAGCAGCGTCTGCAATAGCAGGAATATCAATCGTACAATCAATAAAGCGTGGACCCGATGTTTGTTGAACGTCGTAGATCAAGGTGAGTACTTCAATCGCCAACTGTCGCTCTGCTGGATCCTTGAAAAAGCCCAAAAAGCCTTCGACAGCCAAAGCAAAGTTAAATTCTTCAGGTGTCTTTTCAAATACGGTGGGATCTCTTGGTAGACAGTGATTGCCAATCTTGAAGCCATGACATTGGTCAAGCACAGACCATGTGCGAGGAAAGAAATTGGCTGGAACTCGATTCAATGCACCATCATTCTTTCTACGACGTAACCAGCGTCCGTTCGAGGTAGGGAAGAAATGACCTACGTTATCATGAGTGATGTCAGAAGGTGTGATGTCATCCTTGTCGACGATAGCAAATTGACGTTCGATCAGCTCTGTCGGTCCCCCATTGGCTGGCTTGTGAGCCTCGATCACATCCTCGGGACTGTCTTTCTCGGCAATCAATACATAAGAGTCGCGATACTTGATACTATCGATCAGCTTTGATCCTAAATTCTTGATGGCATCGATCGCACGTTGCGTAAGGTGCTCCGTAAAGTCGTCTTTGCTGGCCATGACGACAATAAGACCGGATGGTAACTTTCGAATAAATTGTGCTAGTTCGTCGCTCTCTTCGGTTGATATATGAGTATCAAACGATGCGTGCTCTAAAACGAGCTTGTGGCTCTTGCTGATAGCCCAGATATGAAGACCACGTGTGTTAGCGGGCAAGACGTTACCGTTCACTTCAGCACGGGCAAAATTGCCTGCGTTATATCCACCAGATTGTGCACGGACGAGAATGGACGTACCACCTTGTTCGGTATTCTTGGGAGGAGGAAGGGTAAGAGAGGACACTTCGATACTTAGTTGACGGGAAGGATCAAAATCTTTGGAGAGAATCAAGAGGCCACCAGGTCTATCACGGATCATGATGGCTGAATCGTTACACATACCGGGACTTGACAGAACAGAACCTAATAATGAGTGTAGCTCAAAGGGCGAGAGTTGCATCAGATGTTCAATAGCTTCCTCTTCATCCAGATGGTTCACACGGCTGATTTCTTCACGTAATGCAATAATGATGTAGTGAGTACGTAATCGAAGAATGCCGTCAAACATGTGAGGAATGGTACGAATGAAGTTTCCGAGCGATATGATGATTTCTTGTACCATCGGTCCTTCACGGACGTCATCCGAACATTGTTCATTGATGATCTTGGTAAGTGCATCTGGATTGAGTGGCGTCGAGATCAATTGTTCATTTGAACCTGATCCAATGCTCACTTGTTTCTGTCGAATGACTAAATCAGTCAGGTTGTTGGTGAGCGTAGGCATCGTTTTGGCAAGTAAACCACTAGCTTGTCTTGCAACGGACCAATACTGTAAGCGTCTAGATTTGAGATAGACCTCCTCCAACAAGTTACGCATGGTTGCATCCAAATCCGGGATAAAATGATCAAGGTTCTTACAAGAAGCGAGGTATTGAAGCAAGTCGATCTGGTCATAGAGATTGACGGATTCCTTGAGACTTTGAACAGCTGCATCAAACTGAGATGGGTCACCAAGGGTCAAGGAGAGTAGCATATCGCCTCCAGTATCTTCCGATATCTGATTACTAGACAAAGAAGGAGACGAAGTGAGAACCGGTGTGCTTGTGTCTGACTGAACGATAGGTGAGGCAGAGCGGACGTTGGGAGCAACTTCGTGATCCTTTAGCTTGAAAGAAGAGATGCCACCATTGTTGATCTTTTCGAGAGCCGCGGCGACATCTTGGAAGTAGCTTTCATCACTCAACTTGTCCAACGGCGTGCCTAACAATTTACCGCCAAAGACACTCTTGCGTCGAGGAGTTCTTGCACCACCAGGAGTATGAGTGCCTGAGTGAGCATTGGAGTCGTTCAGGCGACGCTGAGCATAATGGTGCTTGTGATATTTCTTGTTGTTCAGTAGGATCGTGCTCCAGTCAATATCAGGCTTGTTGACAAGGAAATCAAGCGATTCGATGTTACTCGTGTTCAGCGTCTCTGCCAGTCTTGACAAACGCACTCGAATACCATTGCATTCACCGGATCTCAAGTTCATAAAGAAATTGAGTAGATTCTTCTTGGCAGAATCAGCAGAGATGATGGCGGCATTTAAGCATTCATTACTCGTCGTTGGACCCGCTTGATCGTTTGTTGTGGGCTCACCTAACATGGCGCTTGTCAAGACGACAGTGATCGTGGGTCGGCCTGCATAAGTCCAATGATGATTAGTAAAACTCAATTCGGTTTCAAAGGTGGATACAAGGTAATCAGGATCCGAGTTGAGATAGAACGAGTCAACATCCATAAATTGAGGCGTGAACGCATAGATGTGGCCCTGGATACGATAAAGGCGAGATGTTGCCAGTGTGCCGATTGGACGATTGGGTCTACCAGATAGTCCCAGTTTTTGGTTTTGACCCAGTGCACTGTAGATATCAACAAGCGTCTGAGGAGGCATTACCGTGAAGCTTGATGAAATTTGTTCGACCGTTTGCGTCTCAAGACCGTAGTTGGACAAGATTCTTTGTAGCTCTTCGCTTTCAGACAACAGGACGATTTGAACGACATTATCTACTTTTTCACCCTTCATGTTGAATCGCCTGCCCAAGGGATCCAGTTCAGAAGGCGACAGAAGCTTCTCGTACATCAAGTTACCAAGCAAATAAAGCGAAAGTGCCCATACCAATGGTGTATTCTCATTTGGAATACGCTTTTGCGAATGAGGGTCCTTTTTTTCTGCTTCAATGGATTCTGCAGGGACATAGTATAGTTCAGGAAGCAGAGGTATATGTAGATCGGATGGGATGAACATGCTGGTTGAGCGACGATGCATACCCGGGCGCTTTTTCTTCTCTTGTTGACTGTTATTGTAGTCTTCAGGAGGCATTGGATGTTCAGGGTCCCACATACACGAATCAATGGTGACAAAGTCCAATTTCTTACGGTATTCTTCTACTTGTTCAAAGTTATCAGAGAAGAGGCCTTCCAAGACCATATAAGTAAAGAACAATGGCCATTCAGACTCGATATTCTCGAAGACTTTCAGTTCGCTTTCATTATAATGAAGCCTTGTATGATCTTCTACCACTGTCTGATGACCATCTCGCAAAAATCGCTTCCAGCCATATCGACCTTCTAGCTTCTTTTTGGCATCGTGTTTCGTATACTCGACAAGCTGAGGATCATCGACAGCAAATGCAGGAAAGCCGATGACGGACAAGACTGAGCCATCTACTTCTTTGGAATTCGATTCTCTGGGTAACATACTTTGGAGATTGATCTTGTTTCTTGTCATTTCATCAGGTAAGACATAGACCACCTTGAAAATATAGATGGTCAAAAGACGAGGAAACAAAGTATTTATGTATGAAACTTACTGAAGATGGGCCACCACGGGCACCAAATAGATTAACCCCATTGATAGCTCGAAGTGCTGCACAGGCCATACCAATGGAAGATGAATTTAGCTCTGGCTGACCATGGTTGCTCTTGTTACCACGTTCCCAGATACCAAAGTCTGGGGTACGATAAGCGCCTATATAGATTATGTATGGTTAGAAGATGGAATATAAGTCATGTCTTATAGCTTACGTTCAATATAAAACACCAAGTTTTGAACAAAATCAACTTCGTCTTGAGTAAAAATGACGCTTAGACCACTCGTTGTCATGTCAGCCAAGGCGACAATAAATAAGCTTGTAGCATCAATCTGAAGATGTCCCCAATCTCTGTCACCAACCACTGTTTCGCCTGTCTTGGTATCATATTTAGCATGCAGGGCATCAAAAATGTTTTGTGTCTTTTTGAATTTCTCGACTTTTGGTGCTTGACGCATCATGGCAAATAAAAGCCCACGCATCAATTTGATGACAGCATGTTCCAACTCAACTTAAAAAATAAATAAATAAACATTTGATGTTACAACCAACAACAACGGACTTACATGCTCTTCCCGACGTGTCATCGACTCTTCGATACGCTAATGCAAGACCGTAAACGCAATAGATCGAATATACGTTATCTCTAAACAGAGAATTTAGTAACTATGTTGCATAATCTTGTTTTATTTTACCTAACCCAAGCATCGGTATAGTTACCATGAGTCTATAGTAAATGTTATTACACGCCTCCCTTTCTTTTCCATTTTGATCTTACGGTAATAGCCACAGAAGCAGGAATCAAGCCACTAGCAGGATTTTGCTTTGATAATACTGTGGTGTTTATGACTTGATAGTAGTAATCAAGCCTTTCCAATGTCTGTTTTCTATTATATACAGACACCATTGATAGTTTACGTTAAAAAAAGAAAAAGAAGAGAGGGAAAGAGATAAGAAAGGGTATAAATAAGAAAATGAAATATTTATAACTGCTTACAAAATGATGACAAACCATGCAATCCGTTCATATCAGTTACACAGTAAGAACAAATGACATCAATGCGAAAGAATTCTAGGCTCACACAGTGCTTCCCCAACAATCAATCAAAATCGACGCCACAAGCCAATCAAAATCGACGTCGATGTCCAATCAGAATCAATTTAACGTATTGGCGCGCCTTTCAGTGAGTACGATTTTCTTAAACACTTTTAGCAAGCTATTCATGTCTGTGGTAAATCTTTAGTAAGCATACTTTTACAAGTTATACAGTATTTCCAAAAATTATTGACACTGATGCCAAGAGTAAAATTCGCGTTCGTTAAATTCTATTGTCACGTAAACCATTGGCTGATTTCGCTTGCTGACAAATTGAATGTCGTATATATAGGAAAGCACCGTTAGCTCTTTTTTTTCTTTTTTCTTTTTTTTTTTTTTTACTTCCTTTCTCATTAAAAACCGAGTATTACAATATGAGTTTTAAAATTTTCTACGAAGACGGGCATGGTAATGCAGTTGATGAATACGGTAGACCTGAGCCTATGGACTATATCATTGACGAAGAACGATATGCTTTAGAAACAGTTAGTTCACACACTCAGTATTTGTATAATCAGCCTCAGGAGAAT